TAGGGGTCACCTTCGAGCATTTCCCCACAGCACAGTGGGGATTTTCTTCCTTGCCTTTTTTTTTTTTTGTAAAGGGTTTTGCGTGGTGAATATTGAGGACTTTGAGAGCCCAGGGACAGAGTCAGCTAACAGCTGTGCCCCAGCTTTCTGGGGAGCCTCAAAAGCTTGGGAGCACAGAAGACTTTCCCAATACTGCCTCTATGAAGCCAGACCTGGGACAGGCCTGCAGTCACTGACGTCATACCCTTCCCCCTACTTGGCTGTGCACCTGTCCTCACCCATTGTTGACATTGTCCTTTCCATGTTGTGTGTTTGACGTTCTTCTGCACTACTTAGTTGAGACCTCATGAAAGCACTCCTTCCTTGGTGTTCTCCCCTCCCAGGCCCCCTAAGTCAGTGGGGTTTAGTCCAAGCCACAAACATGAATCATCTAAATGGAAACACTCAAGACACCAGCAGCTGACATCTGATATTCCAATTAGTGAGTCAGTGGGCAGTTTTCAGCTCTCCAACTGACTCAGCTGGGCAGTCAAAGCTGCAAAGTCCAGGTCTTGCTGAGCCCTTGACATGTCCCCAGATTTCTCTGCTCTCTGCCAGGTAATCACAAAATCAAAGTAAGATGGATATATTTTTTTAAAAAGGGAGAGAATCATAAATATAAAACATGGAAAAATGAAAATAAAATACCATTTTAAAAAGCCAAGTTAGATGGCATTTGGGAGGCAGAGGCAGGCGGATCTCTGTGAGTTCGAGGCCAGCCTGGTCTACCAGAGCTAGTTCCAGTACAGGCACCAAAAACTATAGAGAAACCCTGTCTCAAAAAAAAATAAAAAAAAAAGAAAGAAAAGAAAAAAGAAAAAAAAGCCAAGTTAGAGACCATCACCATCTCAAAGCCTCACAACCAGAAGCGCTGCTCCTGCTGGACCCAAAGTAGTTTGGGCCAAGTTTCCTTATTCCATATTTCTTCCTCTGCCTCCTTCTTAGGCTCCAAGGACCACACAGCCTGTAGCTCAGCCTCTCCCCTCCCTTCCTGTCTGAAAATCTCTTCTAATCGCTAATACAAGATGCTATGTAAATAATCGACCTTTCCTCTCCTGCCCCATTACCCAAACGAAGCTTGCTATCTTAAAACCATGCTGCTGAAGCAAAGTCTGATATTCTAACACAGTGTGCACTAGGCACAGGGTGTAAATCTTTACTATATTAAAGTTTTATTATGGTTTCCAAGAGTAGAACTCCTCGCAAACAGATGTGCTCCTAGGTCCCTTGTCATCCAGCCCCTGAGAGACTCTCTGCCCACCTCTCCACGTTCACTCCTCCCCATCCTCCCTCCCTTGATGGCAGACAGACAGAATCTTTAGGCCTGGGGGCACAGCTTTCTTTCCCAATACTCCAGCTTCTTCTAGTTCAGGGGCCTCTGTATTTGGTAGATTCCTTTCAGAAGACATTCACTTGGCTACACAGGCCTTTGGTTTCATCTCTAATGACACTCTGTCCTAGGGACAGTCCCTGAGAATGGCTGAAGCTGTTCCCTCTCATATAGAGACTCACTCAGCAGACAGTTCTAGCTGCCGTAGCTACAGGGTGTGATTCGTTCACAGTGGGGAGACTAGACTCTGCTAAGGTCTCTGTTTATCCCTCGTGCCAATTTCCTAGTCTCAAAGGGCATGATTGAGAATCCAAGTGCCATCACAACATCCTCCACTCAGAATCAATCAGCAGATTAATGGACCAGAACTGATGTCCCTTTAAATGTATCCTCCGGAGCTAGACTTCAGAAAGGGACCCTTGCCCCAGCCCTGAGAAGGGCAAGTAGCACCTGCTTAAATTGTGATCACTTTTAGCCAAATTTCCAAAGTCGTGTGAGCCTACCCATAGTAAGATGTCTGGGTTAAAGGAACTGGTAAACTTGAAAAAAAATGACAAACCAGTTGAACAAATGAAGAAACAATAGTTTTTATTACTGAAAGTGTATTCAGCTAAAGTCAGATAGCTACAGCATATCTCAACTTCATTACTCTCAAAATTACGCACATAGCTCTGAGGACGGTTTCTGCTGCATTGAAAGATGTGCAAAGTTTCATAAAGTATAAATATATAGTCAAGTTGACATGGAGGTGCCATACACTTTTCATCCCAGCTCTTGGGATGCAGAGGCAAAAGGATCTCTGAGATACTGAGGCCATCCTGGTCAAACATAGGGAGTTCCAGCCAAGTTGGGGCTACACAGTGTGACCCTATTCTAAAAAAGTAAAAGCTAAAGTATATTTTTTATGTCTTGTAATGAACTATTCCACACTAGATTATAGATAACAAAATCAATGGTATCTTAAAAGTTCAAGATTAAAGAAAATTCAATAAAGTCAATAAGACTGATTTATCTGTAGGAATATTTACAAAATTCATCTTGGATCTTTCTATCAATCCTCTCAATTGATGATTTTTTTCTATAGTATAACAAAAACACAGACAGTAACTGTATCAAAGGGAAACATGATTATTTTAAAGATGTATCAGACAACATACAATATAGATTCATGGCTGTAATAATGTGAAAATACTTGATTCGACTCTAACTCGACATTGGCTATTACTACAACATCTGCTTAGGGTGGGGATGCGCACTATGGAATGTTTCCACTGCTCAAAGGCTTCTCACAGTCACCTCTCATTGCAATGACCCCTGTCCACCAGGGTCAGTGTGGACATGATAACAGCAAACAGACAGGGAAAACAAAATAGAGGTTACCCTATTATAACTATTGACAGTTAGTATTGGATCCCATGGATATGGCATGTTTTCCACTGAGTCCCACAGACTTTCACAGAATGCAACTAGTCACCATGTTCTTGAGCTCAAGCAAGTTTTGCAAATGCTAGGTGGGACAGACAGACAGATTTCCAGACCCCTTCATGTCTGTCATGCATCTCTGGGAAGACTGAAGAGCAGAGCAGGCATCACAGTCTCGGAGCCCTGCAGCCACCAGGCAGGAATCAGGAAGGAGGCAGGAGAGTTCAGGGCCGATGGCCCCCTCTGGTGGCCTCATGAATGTACAACTATCTTGAACAAATCTTTCTAGAAAAGCTACAAATCCAGGCTCTCATTGCAAAAGGACTATTTTAAGGTGTAGTTGCCTCAAATTTAAGAAAAAGAAAATTAAGAAACATCACTGTATACCAAAGAAACCCTGTCTTGAAAAACCAAAAAGAAAAAACTCAAACTGAAATAAAAATTGATACACTCTTGTAATTCAACTCTTCTCAACAACCAGACTGGCAGTGAATATACCAACACAACAGCCTTTGATAACTCAGCAAAACCAAATACTTCAATGATTGTGACAAACTGATCCACTAGGATAAATGTTTTGTCTTTCTGAATATAACCTGGAGACAATTATAAATTTAGAACTCTGAATGAAGGCAGTGCTGGTCCCAACTCTGTCACACCTGGAGTAGGACTTCTCTCAGGCAGAGCCTGTGTCCTGCTCCCCCTTCCCCTTCATCTCTGCAATGCCTCCTTCCAGCTCCTGATTCAGAGTCCAGTGGTGAGAATAGGAGCACTGGGCATCAAGTCAGACTACGGGGGAAACAGCACTGATGACCTCAGTGCCTTGGTCCACTGTCTTCTTCCCTGATGTCTGCCTGGTCCTTTCTCACCGTGGTAACCTCTCCTGCTATGAAACGCCCATTCTTATCCTAAGATCAATCCCATAATAAATGTATCCTATTTCCAGAGCTAGGAGAAAGCACAACCAACTCTAATGGTGACATTAGGCTCCCTTCTATTTATCTTTGAGGGAAATTAAAACCTAAATTAAAACCCATGATTTTATGCCTTGGGGAGGGAAGAGAAAGTACGTTTCCAATTACAATAAAATAGATAAAACATGATCATGAAATACTTCAAAATTCAGGATGCCCCTCCCTTCACTTTTTTCTTTTTTTTCCAATTCTAACTCTCACTTAATGGTATTAATAATCAAGGCAGGAATCTATTTCCTGTATCACCGATGTCTATGTTGACTATATTCTAAAATGTTCATGTTTGAGAAAATGTGCTTCAATGAGTGAGAGACAGAGGCAATGCTATACAAGAATTCAGATGGCCATTTGAAATTCTTCTGCTGAGAATTCTGGTTAGTTCAGTACCCCATTTCTTAAATTGGGTTATTTAGAATTTTACTGTCTAATTTTTTTTGAGTTCTTTATATATTTTGGAGATCAGTCCTTTGTCTGATGTGGGGTTGGTGAAGATCTTTTCCCATTCAGTAGGCTGCCTTTTTGTCTTATTGGCTGTATCCTTTACAGAAGCTTCTCAGTTTCAGGAGATCCCATTTATTTATTGTTGCGCTCAGTGTCTGTGCTACTGGGGTTATATTTAGGAAGTGGTCCCCTGTGCCCATGCATTGAAGACTACTTCCCACTTTCTCTTCTATCAGGTTCAGTGTGTTCGGATTTATATTGAGGTCTTTAATCCATTTGGACTTGAGTTTTGTGCATGGTGGTAGATATGGATCTATTTTCATTCTTCTAAAGTTGACATCCAGTTATGCCAGCACCATTTGTTGAAGATGCTTTCTTTTTGTGGATTAATATCCGGGTCTTCAGTTTGATTCCATTGATCAATGTCTCTGTTTTTATGCCAATAGCAAGCTGTTTTCATTACTTACTGTAGCTCTGTAATAGAGCTTGATGTCAGGGAGACCCACATTGGAGCACTGGACTGAGCTCCCAAGGTCCAGTTGAAGAGTAAAAGAAATGAAAATATGAGCAAAGAGGTCAAGACCATGAAGAGTTTATCCACTGAAACAGTTTACTTGAGCTAATGGGAGCTCACCAACTCCAGCTGGACTGGGAAGGAACAAGAATAGGACCAAACCAGTCCCTCTGAATGTGGCTGACAGTTGCACTGCTGGGGCAGACTGAGGAGCCACTGGCAGTGGCACTGGGATTTATCTCTACTGCATGTACTGGCTTTTGGGGTTCCTAGTCTTTTTGGATGTATACCTTGCTCAGCCTAGATGTAGTAGGGAGGGCCTTGGACTTTCCACAAGGCAATGTTACTTACTGTCTCTTAGGAAAAGAGGGGGGTAAGATGGGAGGGTGTGTGGAGGGAATAGGAGGAGGGGAGAAAGTGGGAATTTGGGTTGGTTTTTTTTAAAAAAAAACTAATAAAAAAGAAAAAAGAATTAGGATGATGTGAACTGTGAGTTTGAGTATTAACCGCGGAGGGTCACCCCCTCCACCACTGCTGGATGAATGGACACAGAAAATAGCCCTTCAGCTGGAAAGGCTGTTTGCGCTGTCAAATCCAGTTGCTGTCTTTGCAGTCTCAGGTAGAGGAGCCCTCAGAGGGCCACTGGGATTCAATCTGTAGGGTAAGGACTGTCTTCAATTATGTATACATTATCTTCACCTCGGGACCGGAAAACCACTGCGTTTTGCAAAGCTCCAATCTTAGAGAAACGGAATGCTACCAGGCTGCAGAGAAAAAAAGAGAGAGAGAGATGTTGAAGAAAGAACAAGAGGTTACCTTTCAGGTCTAAGAATTTTCAATCACAATGTATGCTCAGGACTCACAAAAACTCTAACCACACAGGACCCTCCTATACTATTAGGTCATAAAAAAGTTTGTTTAATAGATACCTGAAGAATAGGTTTTTTTAAAAAAAAAAAGGAAGGAAAGAAAGAAAGAAAGAAAGAAAGAAGGAAAAGAAAGAAAAAGAAAAAATAGCTCATTTTGGAATCCTTCAAGATACTAATGTAATAAAACACAAAAGTGGGAGATCAAGACAGAGAGATACCTTGTCATCAAACCGAGGTACCTAATCAAGATGTGCATTTTGGAACTGAGCTAGATGACTTGTGTGTTTACTTTGTACTGTGATGCTTTAGAAAGACTAAGGAGAGCCTGGTGACCTGAGTGAGATCCCTGGAGCCCACAGAAAAGGCAGAAGGAAAGATCAGCTCCAGGGTGTTGTCCTCTGACCTTCACAGGTGCCACACATTGCCCCCCCTTCACACACATACGCATCATGCTCACAGTGATACAAAGTTTCCTTTGTTTAAAAAGAAAGAGTTTTGAAACTTGCATGGCATCTAACCTAATAATAAGCATGGAGTAGAAGACAGGTCAAATCACAAAGCAGCTACAGTAGCTGGTCTGGGGCACAATTTCAAGACTGCTGTATGCCACACATGCGCAGACACAGCGTGCACACAAGAAGCAGGAACTGCACTGGAAGGAATTTGGGGAGAGCACAGCAGGTCTTTGCAGTTTGCCCATCCTGACACCTGTGGGAGGGGCTGCAGTTGGGGAGCTCATTCTGTTACTCAGGGTGGGCACAGTGGACTGATTTCGAGCTTCTAGAACTCATGGAGGAGCAAACCAGAGAAGAAAACAGACTAACTCAGGGGTGATGTTTTGACAGTGGGGTTTTGTCATTTGTGACCATTTCTACCACTGAAATGTAGAACCAAAATGAGCATCTCCAGTCGGCCACAGAGGAACGAACACCTGTGCTGAGAATTACAAAGAACCCGAGAAATAAAGCTCCACCCTGCTTGGAACAGTCACACATATAGGGAAACAGGGTAGGGTCAGGACACTCGTGAGTCAGTGTGATGGAACTGACAGAAAAAGTCACAAGAGAATGTCCAGAATGTATGTGTTATGTAGTGGTTAGTTTGGTTTTGTGGCTTCCTTCCTTCCTTCAGTCAGTCAGTCATGTATCATTCATTCATTCATTCATTCATTTGGTTTAGTCAGGGTCTCACCATGTTTCCCTGGCTATCCTGTAACTCCCTACATAGACCCGACTGGCCTGAGCTCATAGAGCACACCTGCCTCTGCCTGCTGAGTTGGAATTAAAGGTGTGAACCACAGCACACCTGCTATTATTTACTTGTTTTTAGACAGTGCTACTAGAAGTCTGGACTGGAATCAAACTTACAATCCTCCTGTGCTAGCTTATTGAGTGTTGAAGTAGCAGTGTGTGCCCCCTTACCCAACTTCTCCCCTCTTCTCTATGTGCTGTGTTTTCCCCAATATTTGTTTTTAAAATTAAAAGTGATTAAAAAGTAGCTTTGGGGACTGAAGAGTTGATCAGCAGTTAAGGATGCTCGTTGCACAAACCAGAGAACCAGAGTTCAGATGCTGCCTCAGGTAGAACATCTCCTGCATGCCTGTAACCCAGCACTGAGGGAGAGAGAGACAGGAGAATTGCTGGGGCTCTGGCTGTTGCCAAAGCAAGCAATGTGAACTGCAGGTCCCAGGGGTACTCTCTATCAGAGGACAAAGTGAGAGATAGAGGAGAACACTCACTGTCCTCCTCTGGCCTCCATGGATGTGTTCCTGCACACTCTCATTCCTGTTCTCTCCATGTCCCTGTTCCCTGTTTCTGCCCCACCTCTACTATCTTACCCTTATCTGTCCCTGTCACATGCAAAAATAAAAATGTGCATTAAATGTTAAAAAAAAAGATGCCTTACCAATACAGGAACAAAATTTATGGACTAAAATAATGCTGTGTTCTTCCAACTCTAAGGAATGGTCCCTTTCCATTTTCAAAATCCATTAGATCGTTTTATATTATTTTATTTACCAGTTAGATCTATAAGCATGGACTGCTGAGGTTGAGGCCAGTGTAGTGTGACCTCATATTTACAAACCTGCTTTTAATCTCTAGGATGAGACTAATTATTGCTCCTACCTTATAGATTTCTTACTGTGAAGGGAAGAAGTGACTGATACGAAGAGCTAACGTATCAGGAACTTCTAATGGACTGGTTCAAGACCCAGTCTATGGCTTGGCTCTTACGCTTAACATAGACCCAGGTAAGTCTCTGCATGGCAGCCTGAAGGACATTGAGTTCTGGCTGAAATACACAGCCCCATGTCCAGCCAATCTTTAGCCAACTGAAAAGAATTAGATGGCTGTAGACTAAGGTAGATAATACTGGAGAGAATAAAAGAGCCCCAAGTACAGTAAACAAGACAAGAACAGTGAAGCCCGGCAAAGCAGACACCAGTGTAGTGAGTGGAGGGGACTGATGTGGAGACACTGGCCATACACAGTTCTGTTGCACTCCCGGCAGACTCAGAAATAATCTTCCTCTAAATCTTATGCTCCCTTGGGTCTTTTCCAAACAACTCACCACCTAGGCATGTCATCCCAGCACACTTCCTCAAAAACACCTATGAGGACTTTTGTACTGGATTATATGCTCTGTCATATATTTTGTCAGTTTATAATAAAATAAATACTCAATGAAAGAAGGCACTGAAGGAAACAAGAATGGGTCAAAGCAACTCCTTCCGTACCAGCTCCAGGAAGCAAAGCTTACAATTCAGTGTCCACTGAGAAGAGATTAGGATCAAGGGGCCTTCTGTGCCTGTCCTACCATAAATACATAAACACAGAATGCAGAAAGTATCTTTGAGAAACGAGGGTAACAAGACTGGGAATCATTAAAATTTATTTGGGGATCCAACCTACAGAATGGAGGCCAACCATTGTGGAACACACCTGTAATCCCAGAGTGAAAGACTGAGACAGAGGCAAGAGGATTGTGAGTTCCAGTCTGGTCTAGCTAATGTAGCAGGTTCCAGGCTAGTCTGGACTACATAGTGAACTCTATCTCAAATCAACCAACCCATCAATGAATCAATTAGTAATGAATGATTTAGTACAAAAGAGAGAATATTCCCATATTTTGTTGGTTCAAAAAGATTCAGCACAATCCATGCCACCTTACCTTAGAGACTGTGACTTGTTTCTCATGTAGATGTACCCTGTATCGGGGTGGGAGGAGATGGGAGAAGATGAAGAGAAAATTGCACGTCATCAGAAACACTCATGACACTGTCCCCTAATCAAGGATGTTGTCTCTATTTTTGATTGAACCGTTCCCAGGTAACTTTGTGTAATTCCTTCCTGTCCTCCACAGGAAGGATCTTCTGTCCATTCACTGGTGTATTCATCCTTGTGGCCTAGTATACTAGAGTGAGAGGGGTAAACTTTTATTCACTGAGACAAACAAAAAGTCTTGATTTTTTTCCTAATGGACTGCCAGAGAACACACCCATAAGGGAAAAATAAAACACTTTGGACTAAGGAAAGAAAGGCACTTGTGCTATTTTACTTAATTTCTAGGTAATTCTCCCATTTAGACATGATCTGATATGTAGCCCAGGCTAGCCACAGACTTTAAGGATGCTGGTATTGCAGTCACATGCCACTACAACCACCTTAAATAATCATTTTGGGTGAACAGCTTTTAAATAATTAGAGGGAACCATCTGAAATCTGACAGGCACATCCTTATTCCCCATCTCCTATGAAGTAGGTTAGTAATGGGCTCATGCATGGTGTTTTGTAAAGTCCATGGCTGCAGTTCATACACAGGGAATGAACTTCACAGAGGGAAACACTGTCTACAGCTGTACAGCTCATGGAAGCAGCATGGAGGCCCAGGTGTCACCTTCAACTATTCCTTTCCAGCATTAGTCAGGGGGCTTCCCACCAATGTCTCATTTGCCTCTTCTACTAAGTATATTCCAGAACATTCAGCAGTATCATTATGGGAAACAAAGAGATCCCAAGAGTAGAACAGGAGAGAACACATCAAAGGTGTTTTAGTGATCTAAAAAAACCTCAAGCATATCAGAATTTTTTCGTGACGTAATATTTAATTTTTTAATGGAGACTATAATGATTCCATTTTGATGGCAATGACTGAAAAACAAAAGACAGGGTTAGGAACAAGAGTGTGGCTGAGGACTGCAACCTATTCCTGTGAGCCCCGCACTGGGATGTTGGAGGCCAGAGGATCCGGATGTTGGGGAACATTCTCAGCTCCCTAGTAAGGTCTGTACCAGTATGGAGTACATGAGATCAAGTTTTACAGACTAGGAATCTTTGGAGACACAGTAACAATGGTTCAAGGTCACTGAGCAGAGCAGTCACCAAGCATCAGAAATCAGTCACAAAGCCTTCTGCATCCTAACTCATCCCTTGGGGGAGGAGAGGGTTTAACATGAGAGCCTTAGATCTGGGGATACACAGGCCATGTGAACTCAAAGCCCCTGCTGCATGTGTAGTTACTTAAAGAAACCCAGAGAGCTCTGGCTCTCCTTCCTTGCAGACAGCTGTGAAATGACTTACTGGTGATAACCACGGTGCACACAAGCAGCAGCAACAGCAGGGCAGCGATGGGGATGCTGATGTAGAAGCCGCTAGTCATGTTCTTCTGCGCCTTCCATGAAGGGCTCAATTCCTAAGGAAACAATAAACAACTTAACAGTAGCAATAGATGAAGAACAGTAAATACAAGAGACACCAAGTGAGAGGAACAGAAAGCACATGAGAAACCTTAACCTAGACTCTAGGTCCTAGAGATTCATCTTTGCTCGCCTGTGACTAGTCCGGAATATGCAGGAAGACCCAAGGATCTGAGGTGGTAAGGGGCAGTGGAACTCCAAGACAATGTGAAATCAGTGTCTTTGGTGATGATGGAAACTATGGTGGTCTATGTTGCTCGAGGCAATTACCTGGGTAGATGCCTCAGTCAAAATTCTAATCATATGGGTTCATACATCATGTATATGATTATGTCTGTCTTAATAGTCAAAAGGTATTTCCTAAATGTATCATCTTATGATATAAAAAAAATAGATCATTTCTAAGTTAACTTGCTCTCAGTGTGTTCAGCTCTTAGTCTGGTCCTTCATCACAGACCCTACTTGTCTTGTAAATGCAACTCAAGATTCCATACAAATAATAGCAAATGATCAGCATGGAAGTATATATACACACAGACAGACTTGGCAGATTAAAGTTTTTAGGAATATATTTATGTATTAAATATGAATATATGTAATATATAGTACAAGCATATACAGTTGATAGGTATATGTATGAATAATTACATATTACTATGCTATATATTATGTACAATAATATATAACATATGAGTTAATATATTTTATATATAAATACACACACATATATATGTATATATTAAAAATTAAAGAAACAGAGACCATGAATTATAAAGAAAGCAAGAAGAGGGAATATAGAAGGGTTCGGAAGGGGCTGAGAAAAAAAACAGTGCAACTATATCCAACAACTTTCTAAAAATAGTAGACTCTGTTAATGGTTGCAATCTGATTACTACTGTATGATCAGATAGAAATACAGAATCTCCCTACTGCCCTGGTACAGGTGATCAGGGATCAGCACACACTGAAATAAGCAGGAGACAGGCTGGGCAACAGGTGAGACCCCTCTAAGAACTTGGCACTAATCTACTAACCCTAAACAGAGCCCATGGCTGGTTTAACTGTGAGGAAAAGGAGACCAGAGCCCGTGTGAGAGCCTCGTCTCTGGAGTCAAAATTCAGGTTCCTCTGTTCTGTTTAGTCAGAGAGAGCATGGACAAGGTAGTTAAGCTCCGTAAGTGCTGTCTCTACGAACTCAAACATCAGTGGGTTCTAAGGCAAGGGATTCTCAGGTATTTAAAAAAAAAGATTTATTTATTATGTATACAGTGTTCTATATGCTTGCAGGCCAGAAGAGGACAGCAGATCTCATCTTGGATGATTGTGAGCCACCATGTGGTTGCTGGGAATTGAACTCAGGACCTTTGGAAGAGCAGGCAGTGCTCTTAACCTCTGAGCCATCTCTCCAGCCCCTCAGGTATTATTCTTGACAAACATTGTGGGAAATATAGATGAAAATAAGGTTTGTTTGTTGTTCTGACAGCGTCTCCTGATCACTTGCTGTTTTGAATCTCACTTGTTGACAATGACCTCGGACCTCTGATCCTCCTTCCTAAACCTCCTGAGAGCTTGGACTGCACGTGTCTACCCTGCCCACGGAACATTTACGTCAGAACATGTTCCTGATTATGAATGGCAGCAATGCTTATCTTTTCTCAGTAATCTTCACAATTTTTCTTCGACCTTTTAATGAAACAGAGTCCATGAAGTTGACCTCCTGGTTCAAGATGTATGCTACTATTGATAGACCTGGGGGTGTACACTTTACTTCTAGGACCTGAGAGGTGGCAGCAGGAGGGTCAGGAGTTCCATATCCTTCCCTGGTACATAGAAAGGTCAAGACCAGCCTGAGCTCCATGGGATTCTGCCTCAAACAAACAAACAACATCCTGAAAGCAAAACTGTGAGCTGTTGTGCATTGGTTTCAATGCACCTAGGGACAGCTTCACATCTTCAGAGTCTACAGCTTATTCTGAATTTAACTCTAAGTTATTCCTTTGTTCTGCTAAGCTTGGATAACTGAGGCAAGAACAACCTTTGACACGCAGTGCTGTTTTATTTTATATGGAGTCAAATGTCTGCTCCCTTAGCAGCACACACTTACTGGTGTCTGATATTTAACTAGTACACACAGATTCTTTCCACAACTACAAGACCACTGGGTGCTAATGTCAATTAGGTCATTATATTTTTATTGTCAGGATGGGCACGTGACACAGGCCTGTAATCCCAGTACTCAGCAGGCTGAGGCAGGAAGATTATGAGTTCTAGGCCAGCCTGAGGTGTGAAATGAGATGATGTCTCAAAGAATAGAAGTAGTTGGTGGGATTCAATCATACAATTTCAACTCATAAAAGACAGAGGCAGGAGGGCCAGAAGTTCAAGGTCATCATCAGCTATGCAGTATGTTCAAGGTCAGCTGGGTTACGTGAGATTCTTACAAAAAAAAAGAGAAACTTTCAGCTGGGTGGTGATGGCACATGCCTTTAATTCCAGCACTCAGGAGGCAGAGGCAGGACGTTTTCTGTGAGTTCCAGACCAGCCTGGTCTGCAGAGTGAGTTCCAGGACAGGTTCTATAGCTACAGAGATACCCTGTCTCAGAAAACCAAAGAAAAGCAAACTTACTTTCAGCCTTTATGTGTTATGTTCTGATTGTCAATAGGTATAAATGTCTTTGGCCGTTTGACCCTGTAGAGATATGTCCACTTTGAAGTGTCTTGATACTTGATGGTTTTTGACGGTTCCAACCCGGGGCCTTGCACATGCTAACAAGGGTGTTGCTACTTCTAACAACTAAATCATCCTCACAACCCCCTGTCTCGCTGTTTAATTACCTTAATCATGATTTTTTTTCTGTGCTAATTTTACACACTAAAACAAATCTTGTTTCTTCCTGTAGCCAAAAGAGAAAACTTCTATTGATAGATTTATTTTGACTATTTGTAGACGTAGAACTCTGTCAAGAATTCTGGAATCAGAGTGCCTTAGATTTTTCTCAAGCTTAGTATGCAGAAACTCCAGGAAGAATCATGCAAAATTTAGAATGTCTTAAGGACTTAATAGCTCATGTGGAGGTTTGTGTATGGAAAAAATATCACTAGTGGGCTCTACAGAGAATGGTCAATGGGTAGAAAAGCAATATAGGGTCAGTAAATGAAATCTTGAATTTAAACATCCTATGTAAGGATCATATTTTTTTAAATTTCTTCATTTTTATACATTTATATATTCATTCTTCTATAGTTTTGAGGCACCATCTCACTATTTAGCCCAAGTTGCCTAATGGTCCAGGCTGGCCTCAAACTTCTGATATCATTAATTAACTTCCTAAATCCTAAGACTAAGGAAGAAACCAGTATATCTGATCCGTGTCTTTTCTTCATTTTTTTTAATGCAGCTATCTGTGAACTAATTTTACAGACAAAAATCTTTAAATACAATTGTTTCCCAAAAAACCGTAAAAGCAAATACAGCTAATAAATTGGAGGAATATGCTTACAGTGTAATTATTCCAAGAGTCGTCTGAGGATGTCACGGTGTTATTCCAATCTGTTCAACAAGAGAGAAAATTAATTATATGTACAAGAATTTAGATGTTTTTACTACATCTGTAAATATAACCCACAAGGCCAATGTGTCTTATATCATGTAAGGGTGGGATTTAATATGGCAGGAGACTCACTGAACAGCAAATTTTGAACATTTAGGTGTTTAAAGTGTATTTAAAATGACTATTTTTTTATAACAAGGAATCTATTATTTTTATTGTTTTTATGTGTGTATGAATGAAACACAGAGTCCTCTTTCCACTGATATCTGGTATATAAAAGGTTTGTAATATCCTGACAAGGAGCCCCTTAATTACATTTTACGGATGAAGAAGAAGACATCAGATGACTTCATATTTCTAATTTTAGCAAGTGACAGACACTTCTGCTGTCAGTGTACACACAATGCCCACACAATGAGTGGAAACACTACGGGTCTATCGGAGTCCCCAACAACTGCCAAAGCTGACATCGCCCAGCACAAGTAAAGTTGAATGACTCATAGCCCCCCTCATTTCTCACTTCACTCTGTTTACATTTCACTCTCTGTGAGAGCCTTACAAGGAGCAAAGGCAATGACTAGGTGTAGGTAGCATCTACAGTCTGGGCTCTGTTTGTGACCTAGGCCTTTAAGTAAAACCAAATCAGAGAAAACTTGAATTCAATACTGACCACGTTCATTAGCAAAGTGACCTCATAATCAAGTTGCTGCAACTTGATTATGCAACACTTGGGAATGCACACATGAGCACTCAACACTGTTATTGTTGTTATATGATGAAAGGAGCACAGTGAACGCTGTGGAGCTCACTTTAGAAATATCATACCGCTTGTGTAATGAGGGCCATTCAACAACTTCTCTAAAGAAGTGTGCCTGGAATAGGGGACAAATGGAAAGGCGTGTGTCTCAAAAAGGAACTAAAGAGTTCCCCCAATCTAGCAGTGACATAAATTACTATGAAATAATGAAATGGGATGGTGTGTAAGGTTCTTGGCAGCACAGCCACAAAAGGCAGGTGGTGGCCCATGTGACACCCAAATCCCTTTCAATCCTAGTATTTCTTGTTTTTGCAGAATGTTCACCAAGGTAGAGATTCCCTGTGCACAGTAAGGACTCACCCTGAGCCTCAAGTTACAAGGCCAAAATGCCAGCAGTCTCAAGGAAACCAGAGACCCAGCTGCTTCCTTCCCTGCTCCACTCTGCAAAGCTCTCCTCTGACCAGGGTTCGGTGACATGACATTACAGAGTCTGAACCCCCTCCTTACTTCTTCTTCACACCTGGGAACAGTGGCAGAGAGCGGCTTCTGCTGCCTTGTGTTTGGATTTAGTTTCATCTTGTTTTTCTGCCTGGAAACAGTTTACACTAAAGATTTCCCTCTCAACATCCAAAGGTCACCATTACCTAATCCTTCCTGGCTCTGTGGGTTCAGTTGTGGCTTTAAATTAACTAGGGCTCCTTTGTGCAGAGATGATACTTCTTGTGCGTCTCCAAGGGAAGAAAAGGGAAAACCAGCCCCATCAGTCCTCTCACAAAGGATCTTACACTGCGCACGAACATCTTACTTTTATATCCTAATCACCTTCCAGATGACCTCAGCGCTTAATTATACATTACCAAAGGAAATTATGGGGACACATTCAGATGACACTGTGATTTCCCTCATGAACCTAAAATTGACAAGGCAGGAGAGGAGACTCTTTGCTGTACACATCTCCATCTTACAGTCGCCAGAGTGTTTGCCTTCTCCCTAGACGGGGCTTTCAACCCTCACCTGCAATTCTTTAGGAAACAAAACAACAACAACAACAAAAACACCCTAAGATTACACTAAAACACCCCCAAGAGGTCGTATGGACTCATGAACCAACACTTCTCTCTGTCTTAGTTTTCACTGATGTCAATCACCTATCCATGTTCTCCAGACTCAGCCCATGAGCCCATCCCCTGATGCAGGCAGAAACTAAGTCTTGAAAAGTTCTGTCAACCCTGAGAGATTCTTGTAGTTCTTCAGTGTGTGCAGTTGTCTGGAACCAAGGGTTTTCTCACAAATCCTAAGTTCCCCTGCCTAATTATAGCCTAGAGGTCTCTGCACACTTAGCGAGAGCCCCAGTACTTCAGGGTCCTCCTGCTTGAAAGTACCTGAAGGCCAGCGAGAGGAGAGGGAAGTCTATACCTCCCGTCATATTACCCTAACAATAAAAACAGAAAGCTCTGTGGCTTCTTCTCTTTGCAGAATCCAGCCCTACCCCGGGAGATGCACAGATTTTAGGAAGCTTTGGGAATCCCTCTAAGAGCTATTTTTTCACTCCTAGATAATAATGTGAAGCTATGCTTGCCTTCAGGATGACAAATTGAAGCATGAACTATATGGCTTCTCTCTAAAATCTGAGCATGTTAAATCATGTCCTAAAATATTGAATTTGATGTGTACTTTTTATCCCTAAAAGGGCGTATGATGGACTTTTCATGCTACATGAATAAACTGAGAGATCCTTAAGCAAAACTTTGCAAGGCATCCACTGCTCTTGAAAAGGGTGGTATACGATGTCTTTCCAGTGAGGACGTGGAAACAGTACAAACCCTCCAAACATCCCTGCTCATGACCCGGGAGTCAGAAGAACCAGCTTCCAACTCAAGGGACCAGGGACAGAGTCTGAGTCACTCTCTGTCTTCATGTCTTCCACCATGAACTGCCAGTTCCTGTCACTATAGAAGAGGGACAGATCACTGCTATACAGGACATAATTGTCAGAGAATTAAGTACTGCTTCATGGAGCGTGGTACATGCCACCTGATGATCAGGAAATGCTAAATGTCACCTTCCCTGAACTATGGCCTCAGCTGGATGACCCAGTTTCAGAATGAATGTCAAGGGTCAAGAGCCTCCCCACCCTGACTCTAATTCTCAGTCTTTATTTAAACTTTCAGTACAAAGTCATGTTCAACTGATCCAGATTCCATCAGCTTTGCTAGATCAATGATCCACCATTGATCTGGCCAGGGTGAATCCCGGGGAACAGAGATGGTGTCCTCCATCTTCAGGCTCTTACTCAGCAGAGGGTGAATGCAACTTAAGACTGGAAATTACAGACTTTGTGAGACATTGTTGGGACACAGCTAAGAACTCTTCACCTCTATTATACTTCTGTCTTGACTCAGTGTCTGTGTGTCCTACAGACGCTTGTAAGAAGGACGTTGGGTCCTGAACCACGTTGGGTTTTACCTGGTGTGTGAGTGTGCATGTGCGCTGGTGTTGTAGGAGTAGAGGTGGAGACTCTGGGTGATGCTGGTACATGTGTGGGTCCTGTTGACAGAGTCGTGGGTCTCCCTGTAGTTGTGGGTCTCCCTGTAGTTGTGGGTCTTCCTGTAGTTATAAGTCTCCCTGTAGTTGTGGGTCTTCCTGAAGTTGTGGGTCTTCCTGTAATTGTGGGTCTTGTTGGAGGACTTGTTGGAATTTCTGGATTCGGAAATCAAGATGAAACAAGGATGAGTTAACAAGAAAAGAGAAGAGCTTATGTTGTAGTTGTAGTATCAGTGAGAGGCTCCCCACCCCCAAGGTTCCTCTCCTGAACCCACATCTTTGTCACTGACCAACTAGGACAGGGAATGGAAGCAGCTCCCCAAAAGGAGGCAGCTGTTCCGACAGCATGGAGATGGGAATACAGCCCAGGTTCCTAAGGACACTTTATAAATGGCAACGGTCAGGTCCTCAGATCTCTCAGCATCTCTGAGACTGAGAGAGTACAGGGGACTAGGACTTCTCTCAGTGTTGACTGCCTTCACCCACAGTTTCCAGGCCCAGCATGTTCTCTTCAGTCATTCCTGAGAGGACACAGCATACAGCCCTGCATCACACAGCAGACAGCCCAGCACACACATCCCACACGAATCACAACACAAATGGGATTTGCACATTTGGGGAAAGAGTGGACATTGACTTCTATGGTTTCTTCCAATCTAAGAGAGACAAGCTGAGTACCCCTTATCCAAAAAATGCTTGGTACCCAGAGTTTAAATATTTAAGTCTTCCTTAACAGTTTAGAATACCTGAAATATAAGTAACACCTTATGTGTCAGGCTCAGGTATAAACATGGATTGATGCAGTATTCATAGAGCTACACATTACATATATACCTTAAAGATAACTTTATAAACTGTGAATAATGCTGCACGTGATAGTTCCATGGCATTGAATTATCCAGGTGTATTATCAAGTCTATGCTCAAAAAGATCCAGATTTTAGAGCACTGTAGACTTTTGATGTTTGAGTTAGTCAGGTCCAACCTACAATTCACAAATCAACAGCATCTGAAGCGCTATAAGCCTCCAGGCAGCTGCTGATGGTCTCAGAGTGCAGGGTTCTAAGTCAGGAACTAAGGCAAAGTGGTGCTGGCATCACACAGTCAGCCAGGACTCGAACTGTGTCAGCAGACATGTCATCCCTGCAAGTTATCTCCCTCGATCTTAACCCTGCTAGCTACAAAACAAGACCTCAACAATGAGGAATAATTGCTTTGAAAACTCTTCTTTATGTGGGCTACTGTTCTAATTCCTCAATCCACTGTGTGTTTATCTTTAAATAATCAAACCTGTAGTGTTCCTACCAGGTGTAGGGAGATGGATGTGGAGCATCCCCCTTAAATTCAATACACATATTCATTCATTTATTAGTGTGTTTGTGAGATGTCACAAATATGGACATCAGGGAATGACTCTGCAGAGTCTGTTCTCTCCTTCCACCATGAGGGCCTAGGGATTGAACTCAGGTCACCAAGCTTAGCAATGGGCATCTTTCCCCTCTGAGCAGCTCACTGGCCCTCAGGCCACTTTTATGTAGAGGGTCAGACATAAGTGTTTTTGTCACAGGAACATAAAAATGAGTGTTCAGGAGCAAGCCTTTGTGTCAATCATTTTGAAAGTCATTACTAACAACATAGCAAGGAAGGGCTGTGGGGTGTGCTGCAGTAAATTTATCCACACTAGCGAGTGGGTCTGCTACAAACCTGGCCTGGTTAGTTTGCTGACCAATCTAATGTGTAGGCAGAGGCTTGAGCACAATACAAACCCTCCCTGGAGAGTAGAAATCTCTGAAGGAGAGAAAGGCAAGCATGGGAACAATCTTTCTGAAGACTCACTATGAGACCAACCAGGAAAGAATCAACAGCTCAGGAGCTGTGGTGCTCTTGCTCTGGGGAGTTATTCTCCCAGGTAGATGGGATGTCCAAAGGAGCCAATAAGGGCAGAGGGAAGGGTAGTCCAGTGTGCAAAATCATGAGAAAACATCGACTTGGTTGTTAGGAGATGAAGCAGAGTTTCTGGCTCACTTACAGACTCACTCAAACAGTGACTTTGTACGCACTGACCTGTTAACAAATTTCTAAACTCATAAAACCTTAAGTTAATGAACTGAAATTAGTTATTTTATGCTACAATGCCATGCCCAACCCCCTTTTGGTGCTGGGGCTATAACCCCAGGGTTTTAGGCAGGAACGTGCGCTAGACAAGCACCTTCCGAAGCTACAACCAGAGCCCTTACTTGGTTATTGTGTTTGCAGTTCTAGGGAAGCCAAGGCTTCAGATATGTCAGACAAATTTCTACATATCACCTAAGGGAGTTCTTTTATAAGAGACTTCTCTCTTCCTCCCCTCCCCTGCTCCCCCCCCTCTCTCCTGTGTGTGTGTGTGTGTGTGTGTGTGTGTGTGTGTGTGAATGTGGGTTTATTCTCGTGTGAGTGGGTACCCTTGGAAGCCAGAGTCATTAAACTTCATCCAGGTAAATAATACAATTTTACAACTGTAATAGGTACTTGGAACCTTAGGTCTCTTCCCCATTTCTGTCTCTATACATCATTCTCTGCACACCCTGTCTCAAAAAACAAAAAACAAATAGAGAAAAGAAGAAAGAAGAAAAGAAAGAAAGGCAGAAAAGAATGAAGGGAGGGAAGGAAGGAAGGAGGAGGGAGGGAGAGATGGAAGAAGAGAGGGAGGGAGGGATGAAGGCAGAAGGGAGGAAGGAAGGAAGGAAGGAAGGAAGGAAGGAAGGAAGGAAGGAAGGAAGGAAGGAAGGAAGGAAATGTAATGAGTCCAGATTTGGGGCTTTCGTTAACTTCTTACTCTTAGAATATAGGCTTGAACCTTTAGACCAGATCCCACAGTCTGAATAGGTCAAGCCCCACCCCCTCACTGCTCTGTGAAGCAGCTAAGAGACTCTATTATGTGCCCTAACAGCTGCCCTAGATTATTGGACCTAACCAAGATCTGGCTGCCCCATACTCTGTCATTTATGCTACGGTGAACTAAATCACATGATAGGAAACTTTCCTCCTGAATGAAAAAAAAAAAAAGAAAGGAAAGGAAAGGAAGACATGACTACTCCTACCTATGTTGGAGGGGATGGTTTATCATAGATATGGAGGAGAAAACAGACAGAGGCATCCAAAAAGGGTCCAGAGTGGACATGACCGGCAAAATGAACTGGCCATGTGAGGAAAAGGGAAGCCAGGAGCCAAGATTGGTGACCAAGAGGTCAAGAACCCCAAAGGGGCCTGTATAGTCAAAATGGCTGGGAAGAGCAGCTTGGGAAAGAACAGCCCAGTCCAGCCCTGGGCTGGAGAATTGAGAGAAGGGGTGGGGTGCGCCAGGTACTGGCCTTGCTGAGAAAAAAGTAGCCAGTGTCTGCTTTGATATGTTAGTAAACACCTTAGTTAGCCTTAGCCCTGGGACCTAGCACGTAGAACTGCCACCACTAAAAGACTATAACAAGCCTTACTTTCCCTTGCTCTGGGGACCAGCCTGAGACTCCTCAGGGGTAATGCTGAGAGGATTATTTTGCAAGCTGCTCTGTGAGGAGGATGCTCTGTCTGCCCTGCTATTCCAGTAATGGCTGATCTCTCTAGTCCTCCTCATCTCTGTCTCCCTCCCACACTCCTGCTCTTAATGAAGCTCCTCTCCAGGTTGCAAAGAGAAGGCCCTCCTTTCCTGGAAGCCTCTTCATACCCAATCAAGGAATGAAGTTGATTGTATCGTTTCTGTCTAATGCTCTCCCTCCCAGCTGGAGGGCTGATCTTGGCCTTGAGGCCTCCTCATTCTAACAAAGCTCATTGGACAGAATTGTGTGTCTGCGTCCTTTAAGGACTAACAGCTGTTCCTCATGCTATTACACTGCCGAGTGACCGTGAACAGATATTGGAGCGCACAGTCTGCTCTCAGGACGTTTCCATTGTTCAAGCAACACATTGTGTGATATGCTATGATGTGATTTCAAAGGCCCAAGGCAGGGCAGACAGGGACTATAACTCTCCACCTATACTTGTGGTCTGTGTAGAGCCCAGGGTTTGGCCACTGGCAGGATCAATAGAGACCAGCCAGGAAGTAGGCCTGAGTTGCCATTTACCATAAGACAACATCTCTCTCCAGGAAAAACCACAAACTGAGACCATCTAGGCACCACCCAGGCACATCCAAGGGGTTGTTCTAACATGCCAAAGGAAATACCTACCTAAACTTCCAACCATTGTGGATGAGATCACCTAAGGTCCCTTAAGCCAACACACCCCCTTCCCTTTTCACCAAGACACCCCTAGACAAATGTCAGCCAGCGAGGGGTCCTGAATCTTATAAATCTCCCACCTCAACCTCTGCCATAATAAAACACCCACCCCAACTGAGCTCCAGGCTCTCCATTCTTGTACACATAGAGGGTCCAAGATTGAGCTTGAATAAAGGCTCTTTGCTTTTGCATGTAGGTTCGGATTCCTTGGAGGTCTTTGGGGGACTCCACAGTCTGGGCATAACAGCCTGTGCTCAGCAAGGTCAGCTGACCCTTGTCGAAGCCAGCTCATCAATGCAGCCGCCTGCTTTTCAGGTTAGAGCTGTTGTGCTTTTATTGTGCTGGGAATGGGTGATTACCATTCTAAGATAAAACCACGGAAAAGAGGCAGTTCTTAAAATCACATACTTCTAGTTTAAAGGCCCCCCCCACTGTGTTTCAGGAAGAAGAATGGATGCAGTTTCACGGTCCAACAAGACTTTCCCAAGTACAGTTAGGACGTGAATCCCAATTTAGCTCATGGTCTTGAATTAAGATTCATTTTAGGACTTCATCTAAGCAAATAAATTTGTTCAGTGCCTCTAAAGAGAATATTTAAGGCTGGGTTTGGTGGCATGTGCCTGTGTTCTCAACACTGGAGTCGAGGCAGGAGAATCCAGAGAGCATGGCCATCGGAGGACAGCCTGAGATACAGGAGAGTTTGTCTTTACACAACTCAAAAGCAAGCGTCTAATCAAACATGTTCATAAGAACTTTGTGTTTCCTTGTTCTAGGAAGAGAACGAATTATTAGCAAACAGAGGACACAGCCTACTTACATGAAATAAAGAAAGGAAACAAAGAAAGCTTACCTGGTTTGATTTCCAATGAAAAGGTCACTTTTTGATCATTGAACCATCCAAGGACCTCCACACGACAACAGTACAGACCACTGTCACTCTGGACAGCGTTCTCTATTGTCAAGGACACGTTTCCTCCCGAAATATTCCCCTTTAGCTGGTATCTGCTGTTCTTTTGATAGGTGACTCGGTATCCATTGGTCCAGATAAGTGTGTTTGCACAACGAGAAGATGGGCATCCACCTTGGCCCCAGCATGTGGTAAAGATTCCACCACGTGTTGAGTAAGTACACGGCAGTGTGACAGGGTGACCCACTACCCCCTTCACTACTACATAAGAATCCACAGCACCTGTGGTGTAAGAAGGGGGGAAGGGGAAAAAATGGAGAGTTAGTACCCAACATTTTCCCTAAATTTTGCTGTTGTTCTTAGGAAAAAATTATGGGATGGGTGGGCTGCAGTCCTTTTATTATTGTTTTGTTTCACTATTTGATTGGTTTGTTTTGTTTTGTTTTGTTTTGTTTGTAGGCATAAAAGGGAATGACAACTTCATTTTTGTGGTTGTTATCATTTGGTTTTCTGAGCCAGGATCTCACTTTGTATCCTTGGCTGCCCTGGAACTTGCTGCTTGAATGGGGCTAACTTCAAACTCCCAGAGCTCTGCTGCCTCTACCTCCCCAATCCTATGATTAAATGTCCAGTTTTACTGCTTGAATTTGAAGACTGTAAACATTTTAGTATATTCTTCCTTAGTGTGATCACTTAATAAATACATATATGAGCAAAACGACTTATCTATGGCATGATATTCACTCAATTTTCTTCTTCAGAGTGTGCATTTCTTTCTATGTCTCATGTTGGCTGAAAAATTACAGTCCTCCCACCTCTGCCTCCTGAGTGTGGGATACTTAGCATATGCCATTGAGACCAGCTCAAATGTTTCATTTTTGAACATTTTTAAACTTTATTTCAGTAAATAAAGCGGGTAGTGCTTGTAAACCCAGAACTTAATAGTAAATCCAAAACTCCCTTGTATACCCAGAACTCATTTGTATTCCTAGAACTTACTTGTGTACCCAAAACTCACTTGTAGTACCAGAACTTGAGAGGTAGAGGGAGGAAGATGAGGAATTCAAGGACAACTTCAGCTAATAATAAATTCAAGACAGGCCTAGATTTTGGAGACCCCCTCTCAAACTATCCCCCCTCTTCCTCCATAGTGCTAAGACAACAAAATCGCTAAATCTCCCCCACTTCTAGTCAAAGAGAAAAGCCAGGGCTTTGGAACAGCAATGTTGGCTTCAATCAGAACTTTAGTAACTTCAAAGTCAATATTCAGAAAGGGTTTTAGAAAACCACCTGGAGAGCCAAGCAATGGTGGTGCATACCTTTAATCCTAGCACTCAGGAGGATGAGGCAGGTGGATCTCTGTTAGGTCAAGAGCTCTAGACCAGTCTGATCTACAGAGTCAGTTCCAGGACTGGCTCCATAGCCAAGGAGAAACCCAGTCTCAAAAAAAAAGAAAGAAAACCACATGAAGGGACTGAACATTATTCTGAACTTTATGATTAGCCCTTTAGAAACAAAAAACTAATCAAACAAACAAAGGCAGAGGTCCCTTCTTATAAGTTGGTGACATTGCAGAACTTGAACAAAACCCACTTGTAAAGTAAGACCACACCGCCAAAGAATATGCAACCAATAACTTAAAGATGCAACTTTAAAAACTGAAACAATTACGTATAATTTTTGTGGGATGGTCGAATAGAATTCTCAGTGACAACAGCTTCAAAGGTTGCCTTTAAAGCAACTCTGAGGACTGAGAATGGAGTTCCATGATACAGGGCTTGGGCTAGCCCGTGCTAGCCCCTCTTGTTGGATCACAGTACTGAAAACAAACAAATAAGCCAACAGAAGTACAAAACAATGAGCTATGATATTCTCTAACTAATCATTTATCTGCAGGCCTAGGATGAGAGTCTGGAACATGATCGAAGAAAACACAGTCCTAATTATATAAAATGAGCATATTTCTTCCTGATGCATACATTACTTGATTTGTCAAATACCTTGTTTAGGATCACAAACAAAATACATGCTATTTTCATTAAGTCATAGAAATATATTTTATTTCTCACCAGTGATCTCAGCTCTTAGGAGAATCTCAGATCTAGACAGGAGGATCAGAAGTTTGAGGTGATCCCCAGCTAGCTATGGAGTCGTGGGCCAGCCTGGACTAACCTAGAACCTGTCTCAAAGCCAATTATGGTGCTCCTTCTATTCTCCCTCCTATAGAAAGCTTTGAATTAAAACGTTTTTAAGATAAATAATTGAAAACAGTTTAAACAAGCAAAAATGCACAAAGAAATAAAATGAAGGCTGATTTTGACCAGCATTGATTTCCTGCATGGAAAACACTGTTTCCGATTTTTTATTAACCATTGACTATCACATGCATGAATGTGCAATCAGGCCATACTTGTGTATCCCATGCATGCACATATTCCTGTCCCTTGCCTGGCATGTTCTTGAGGATCATGTTTATTTAGCCATATGTTTTGAAATTCATACAGGTAAAGCAAATTTATCTGGGTCTTTGCTCATTGCATAACCCATGATCAAAAAAGTCCAAGGATTGTCATCTCTTCTGGCACCTCTGGCCTTCCCAGCATCCCCAGCTCATCCACTCACTTACCTGGGAGAAGAAGTATGAGGCCTGAAATGAAGACTTGAGGCTGCATCATGGTGGTGACCTGGAGGACAATGAGAAGACGCTCTGGTAGCTGTGGCACTCAGCGCGCTGTACTCAGGCAGGGCTGCATTCTGACTGTGACTCACAGGTCTCTCTGCCAGGGACCCCTGTCCTCCCCAACACCCTCTTCTTTCCTGGTCCTTCCTCACATACAGCCAGCAACCTCACTCCTGGTCATGACATAAATAAGGCAGCAAACAGAGAAATCTGGAGGCAGAGACAAGAGTGTGTTCTCTTGGTAGAACTCTGAGCAGAGACCAGCCCTCTAATGGCAAAGGTGGACTTGCCTCCCAGTGGACACAGAGTTGCTTCTGCCCAGTAGATACAGGAGTTGGTCCCTAAATCTCAACCACCTTAATCACTAGCAAGGTGTCCTGAGCCAGAGTGCTGCTGCACATAGTATCTGAGACCACATTTTCTTGGGGAACGTCTAGAGACACCCAGAAAAACACTAAGTATAGATCAAAACCTTCCATTCACAGAGCCCCTCCATGCCTAGATTTCCTCCTAGGTAAAATAGCACTAATGTTTGCTCAGTTTTTGGAGAATCTGCTGTTGAAGGAGACAATGGGTTACTTACACACAGGAACCAAATCCTCATGGAACTCCTTAGGCAACTACTTTTAAACCCAGTTATGGAAGATGTTGCGTGTCTTCAGAGTTCAATATCTGGATTTAAACGTTTGCCTCTTAATTGGTAAACCATAAAAACATGAGTAAGCCTGCCTGGTACTTCATTAACTCCACTTCTAGTCAGAAGAATCCTTGACTTTCTCTCAGAGAGGAAAGTGTGTTCTGTTACCAGTCTTCAAGATGGTAATAGCTTTCACGAATCTTCCATGAGCTCAGCATCTTCAGGCCTGGGCCCTGTACTATTACACTAACTTAGAAGAGATCAGAAAACTAATGCTGCAAACTGGTGGCCAAACAATGATCGTAATGGACATCTCAAACGTCTTATTTTTTTATTGGAAGATAACTCCAGAACATATAAAACCAACATGAGACACAACTATTTTACTTTCTTATCATGGTTCCAACCATCCTGTCCCTTTAGAGTTCTATTGAGGAAGGGTGGTGAATTCGGGCATTCACTGCCTCACACAGTCTGCTACCCTTCTTGACACAAACTGTCACTGAGCCATCCCACAAGGTGTCTTATCACCTACTTACTCATAAAATGAAGGGAACAGACATTGATGGTTAATAGCTTTCCAGGTTCCCAAAGGAAACCTTCTCCACATCCTGAATTCAACTGAGTAGCCAGGTGAGTTCTACAATAGAGTAAGTATCTTGCTGATGGCTGGAAATTCTTTTCTTTTCTGTCTTTATATGCTTGAGAAGAACATACTAGAGGCCACCGAATTTTAAACTGTAGTTTACTGTAAAAGACCTGTGAAGATCCTGTAGGGAGACTTTGGAAGGCTGAAAATTTGTAATTCAAGAGCCTTAATAGCATAAATTCTCTCTGTCCCCCTCAGTGGCCATTTACTACCAACCCCTGCATCTCTGCTAACATCCTGTGACAATCAGGAACAACTTCTGGAATATATTGTTACATTTTCACACAGTCAGCTTCCACCAACCCTATATCTAAGAATTATAGAACACCAGAAATCTAGTGAAGAGATTCCTGGGTTCTGTTGTGTCCCATCTGCCTGATGTTCCCACCAGGATCCTTGGTAAATGCATCAGTTTATGACTTACTTTTGTCCTGGGACTATAAAAGTTCATGTAACCCCTCCACAGTGGAGCATGAAATTCATGATAAAACGATCTGTGCCTCGCTCACTAAAAACTAGATCGCAATAATGCCTATTTCCTTTGGAATAAGAGCAGCATTTTTCTAATTCACTAAAGATTACATCTAAATAGTTCTTGTATCAGGGAGTGCGTGAGCTTTCCAGGGGACACACGTGGTCAGAAGACAACTGTGGGTAGCTGGTTCTCTCCTTCTAAATGCAGGTCGTGGGGGTTGAATTCAGGATTGGTGACAAGCGCCCTTATCTACTGAGGCATCCCGTGTGCTCAAGGGCAGCATTTTGCACTGTCAAAAGCTAGGAGAACCAATGCTAAAGTGGCTCACACAGAATTAAACCATGCCTCCTTCATCTGAAAGGCAAAATGTTATAATGCTAGATTTCCTATAACCTAGGATTAGGCCAAAGCCCAATGTCCATGGGGTGGATTTTTGAAAAGATTTTTATTTCAATGCAGTTACCATTAATAAACTAAGGATAGGGGAATATGATTCAGCACAATAGGGATGTAAAGTATCTAGAATTGTGCAAGCAACTCACCACGGGAAAGTGAGCAACCAACAAATAAATTCACAAACAATGAGACAGCTGTAAATGTGTAATCAGACCATGTCACGTCCCTGACAACCCTACCTCTCTCAAGGAGCAGAGAACCCAATTCTCTAACCAGAGTTTTTGCAAATGTCCTGATTATCTAGTCCCTGACAATTTAGTCCCTGCCTAAGGCTCAGATTTGCTTCTCTGATCTCCTGTGCCACAGTCACATGGGCTTTCTTTCTAATTCATCTCCTAAGGTCGTTGTCCAGATGATGCCCTGCCTTGGCTCTTCTTTTACCCCA